CAACCCGAAACGTCAGCTTTCCTGCTCCTCTGATGCTGTTTGGCCTGCTGTGTTCATCCAGCTCTACACCTTGTTATCTCAGATTCTCCAGCATTGGCAGTTCCTACTATCTCTGAATCATTTATCATACTGTCAGCTTATCACATTGTGACTTGCTCACCGAGTTAGTGGGAATGAGAAAAGGAGCCCCCAAAAATCAAAATGTGGCCCTCGAAAAAATAATTTTGACCCCTGGCTTACTAATATCAGATACTCGAGTAGACGAAAACAAAAGAAATGCAAAAGTGGTTGTACAATAAGAAATAAGTTGTCTAATTAATACTGCCTCAGGAAATTTGTTTTTGTTTGGAATGTTTGAACTTTTAAGCATCAGTGATTACCTTAATCATGGTTCTTACCTCCAGCACTGGGTTTCTCAATTCTGCTTTCCAGCCCATTTGCCTGCTGAGGGCAACACCGATCGCTCTCCCTAGCTCCTGTGGGAAATCAATTATGCAGAAAAATTACCCATTTGTAACTTAACATTGTCTAGGAAAATAAAGACACAAGTTGACATAAACTGTAACAAACTTGCAAAATTCTCACCTTACTAAGCTGTACATCATTGCTCGTGAGTAGTATTGATAAAGTATAAATAAAATGAAACTTAAAATAACTCAAAGCACTTTAGAGGAGAATGTAGATACAACTTAGTGACATGGGAGTTGGGAAAGCTGACTAAAGGCATGGCTAAATAAAAACATGTCGAGATAATTTTTAGAAAGAGAAAATTATGCAGATAATTTAAAATACTGAATGCAATTCAGATGTTTGTCACAATTTTTCAATCCAGGAAAATGTTAGTCTCAACTGTAACTTATGTTAAAGGGTGCAAATAGGGAATTCCATATTTGTGATTGTGATTTAGTTTCATGTTTAGCCTTGCCAAAAGAAGTAATTTTGAAAACAGAAAAATTGTAGATTTATAACGCTAAAACATTTAAATAGTTTACACCTCTTAAAATTCAAACCAATTGCTAATTAAAGGATTAATAGGGATGCTACAGATTATGTTATTGTAATTCAAATGCTCAAGCTGTTCTTTTGTATTCTTCTACTAGACTGCTCAGCTGCAAAAATGCACTTTCCAGAGACAATGGTGAGGCCAGAAGTGATGCAGGCTGAATGTTTTGAACCCAGTGAAGCATTGGTTCTTTTAGAATTTTGTTTTAACAATCATGCTTGCTGTACCTGATCTCATAGTTAGGAGATTTGAGTTTACACAGACTTGGAGAGCAGGGGCATTGAGAGTCACAAGAGGTTTAGAAAAGTTTGAATTTTCCAAATGCAAATTTATTCTTGAATTTATTTTTTTTAAAAACTTTAACCAACACTTGCCTCCTAAATAGAGCAATGAAATTTAACTAGTTCATTTACTTTTAGTTGAAGGAGAGGAGCTGAAAACACTCCAAATGCAATGGAAAAATGTGAAGTCTAGATGCACCTATGATGTTCACGGAAACAAGTCCCATAGATTGCCAAATATTAAGTTACTGTTTCAAATCTCCAAAAAAAAAGTGTTCCTAAATTGGGGTGGAGGATCATAACTTACACCAACTGGTGGTTCACATTTTGTTCTCGACGTACAAGTGGTCACTATCTTAAAGTGACATGAAAAATGGGGTGATCCAAATTAAACAAAGTGACACCTTTTTTGTAGAATAAACTCATGCAATATATTTCAGAACAAACAAGTAATTTTAAGAAAGTAACAAAAAACATTGAACTTTGGCACCTGATGCAGAAAGTTCAGATTCATTCCGAATCACTGTGGTATCATCATAAGGGCCCCACATGAGTCAGATGTGGCATTTTCAAGTTCAGAATTATCCATTCTCCACCAACAAGTCATCTTCCCCATTTGCTGAATTAGATATTTTTAACTTTTTAATTAAGAAAATGACAATTTGTACATTAATAGCTTCCCAAATCCCACACAAAACATCAAACGTGGAAATACATTAATTTATGTAAACATGTTTTCCTCCATCAACTATTCACTTATTTCATCCGGCACAAGCATGATCCGTGAATGATTTGTAAGGGCAAAGCAACACTAAGTTTTAAACTCCTGTCCGTCATCTTGGTAATGTGGCCTGCTGAAGACCAAATGCTGACTTAATGCATTGCTGTCGTGAAAAATCAAGGCCAACTTCTTTGCAGAAAAGAAGGGATCAAATTAATGCACAGTGTATAGGCCTAAATACGAATTTTGGTACACCAAAAGAGGATCATCTTGTATGCTGAGTTGACTTGTGTCCCACGATCCATGGTAGCTATAGTTATGAAGAGGGTTCTGGATGCAGCACCTTAATCCTTGCAATTAAGCAGCACATCGGTGTCTGGATTGGTGATTTACCCTGGCTGCTTCCTTGTATTGCTGAACGAGCATCATATTTCCCTGTTAGAGCTTTTCACACTGCAGCTGAGAGTGACTTCAAAAGATTATTCAGTGTTACAATGGAGGTAATCAATTTCAACTGGTCCATGAAACCACAACAAAAGGAGAGACTTAAAAAAGGATGGTGAGAAAATCATTTTGCACATCAGATTGCTGCAGTATACTTCAGCAAGTTGATATACTCTGTTCAGAAACAGCCTGCACATTTACACATAACAGCAACTCGTAGGTATAGCTCTCTTTTAAAAGGAAATGAAGCATTTTGTATGGTTTCATGCAGCACTGGATTAATGTTCAGTCAATAACTAATCATGTTAGTTCAATTATCTATTAACGACTTTCAGTACATACGCGAAAGCAATTCTTTTACTGCAATGCAGCTATGTGCACAGCACCATTAAAAGCAAGGTCAAATGATATAATGGAAGAATTATGGATGCGGGAATTGATTAGACTTATACAGCTGGTGATTTACAGCATCCAATCAAAGCCATTCATAACTGAAATAGCATAGTAATATTACCAAGCAATCTGGAATGACAATCATTGAAAATTCTGCTGATCATCAAGTTGTGTATCTGTTAAAATTATTTCACTGGGGCTATAATTCCTTTTAATGCCTAATTATGCTCACCAAAAGCATTTTTTCCCATTAATAGCTTACACTTTGCTATTAATGGTGCTGTGCTTTTGCTGACTACATGATGTGTGGATAATAAATGAAGGCATCCTTCCGAATAAACAAGGAGCTTGCTGGCACTCACTTACAAGACTCACGCATGAATAATATACAAATGGGCATTGGCACTTGCAAACTAGCAAATAAAAGTCGATACCTTCAACAGTACAATTACCTGTGAGGTAATCATTTTAGCAATTTTCCCACTGCAGCGACAAGATACTCTAAAATGCATACTAGATGCAGCACCTTGACCCTTAGAATTAAGCAGCTCATCAGGAGAAGATGGCATCTGTGTTGGTGATTTACTCTGGTAGCTTTCTTGTATTAGCGAATGAGCATCATGTTGCCCTGTTGGACTTTCATTAAAGTCTGTCATTGGAGATTCACCCAGCTCTAACTTTGACCTTTTTCTAGTTTCACCACTCTCTTGCTGCGCTGGCCGTTTTATCCCAGTTCTAGTAATGTCTGAAGTGCGTTCTTCTTCTTTGTTAGGATCCTGAAGAGATTTCCATTTGGCAACAATATTCAACCATTCACTCGACTCTCCAATCACATATTTCTGAAGCATGTGAACACCTTTCCCTTGGAATTCAAAAGAGAGAACAACTTGTTTGAACAGGAACGTATAGTCAAGTCTGAACGCATCATATTTCAAATCAAACAATCACAATCACAATCACAATGAATGGACATATTCATTACTAACAAACCTAAAGTAATACTCGCAAAAAACTTCATAGCTTTGATTCTCTCAAATCCATGAGATTTTGTTATAAACATTTATAGAACTCTAGCTACAAGATGATCAAAGTTAGGAACTAAACATTCATGGGTACATGATTTTTCAAAAGAACAACAGTTAATTTGCCTTCTGACTACCTGCTGAACCTGGGTGCTAGCTTTTTGTGATTCATGAAAGAGGATCCCCAAGCCTTTCCCCATTTAAACAATATTCGGCCCTTTTCTTCTTCCTGCCAAAGTGTATAATCTCACATTTTACCATATTACATTCCATCTGCCAAGTTTTCGCCAACTCACTCAACCTATTCCTCGGTAGACTCTGGGTCATCCTCACTACTTGCCTTCCCACCTACCTTCATGAAATTCGATGTGGTGATAGTACATTCAGTGACCATAACATTAGGGAAGAGTGGTGGGGTAGCTTTGTTGTATGAGGTGGAATAACTACCATAACAAGAAATGATCCAGTGTTGGATGGTATAGAACCTATATGGATAGAGGTAAGAAATAACGACAAGTAGAAGACATTGAAGGGAGTAGTAGACTGCCCCCTAACAGTAGCTATTCTGTAAGACAAAATCAGGAGATATAAGGCCATGTAAAAATAGGCAGCATATTCAGCATTGGTGACTTTATTCTTTACGTAGATTGGGAAAATCAAATTTGAAAAGGTAGCCATGAGAAAGAATTATAGAACGTATTCAGTACAGTTTGTTAGAACAATATGTTGCAGTTTCAACCAGGGATCAGGCTATTTTGGATCTGGTAATGTGTAATAAAGTGTATTTAATAAATGGTCTCAGTAAGAGATAACCGAGGGAACAGTGACCATAACATTGGAGAATACAGCATTCAGTTTGAGTGTAACTAAAATGGATCAGAAACAACTATGTTAAATTTAGCTTAGCAGAAAGGAGAGTTGGGGAACAATTGCAGAGTCTTAAGAAAATGGTTTATGACAAAGATTTGGAGGAAGGATTCTAGGAAGGGATAAACTGACTATGGTTAACCAAGGAAATTAGAACAGTATCAAATTGATAAAAAAAAATACAACATGCTTAAAGATTAGTGGTAAATCAAAAAATTTGGAATGTTTTAAAGGCCGCCAAAAAATAAGAAAATAAACAAATGAGGGTAAGTTGTAAATGTACATGGGCCCTTAGAGAATGAGGCTGAGGAAATAATAATGGGGAACTAGGAAATAGAACTTTACATCAGTCTTCATGCCAGAGGACACAAACAGCACTGCAAAATTACTAAATAATCAAAGAAAAGAACCACGATAACTCAGTGGAGAAAAAGTACAAGGAAAACTATTGCGGCTAAAGCTGACAGGTCTCTTGGACCTGATGGGATGTATCCTGGGATAATAAAGCAAGTGGTTATGGAGATGGTGGATGCAGTCATAGTAATCTTTAAAGAATCATTAGATTCGGAAAAAAGTTCCGGAATCTGGAAAACTGCCAATGGCAGTTCAAAAAAAATCCTTCTTTTAGAAATCCTTATTCAAAAGGAGAGGAAGACAAAAAAAAGGTAACTACAAGTCTGAGAGTTTAACACCTGTCATTGGGAAAATAAAAGCCGTAATAGTAGAGCATTTAGAAATGCATAATATAACCAAGCAGAGTCATCATGGCTATATGAAGGGAAAATCATGCCTGACAAATGTACTTGTGTTCTTCGAAGAGGTAACAAGCAAGATAAAGGAAAACCAGTAGATGCATTTGGATTAAATTGAAAGAATTGGGTTTGAATTTCCAAAAGGCTTTTGATAAGGTATTGCACATTTTTTTTCCTTTATTCATTCACGGAAAGAGGGTGACGCTGGCTAGGCCAGCACTTATTGCCCATTCCTAATTGCCCAGAGGGCAGTTATGAGTCAACCACATTGCTGTGGGTCTGGAGTCACATGTAGGCCAGACCAGGTAAGGATGGCAGTTTCCTTCCCTAAAGAACATTAGTGAGCCAGATGGGTTTTTCAAACAATTGGTAATGGATTCACGGTCATCATTAGACTCTTAATTCCAGATATTTATTGAATTCAAATTCCGCCAGCAGTCTACTCTCGATCATCAGTCAAGTAATGGAAGATGTCATCAATAGTGCTAACAAGCAGCACCTGCTCAGAGATCTCTGGTTTGGGTTCCACCAGGGCCACTCAACTCCTGACCTCATTACAGCCTTGGTTCAAACATGGACAAAAAAGCTGAATTCCAGAGGTGAGGTGAGAATGTGGCATCAAAGAGCCCTGGAATCAATGGGTATCAGGGGGCAAATGCTCCAGTGGTTGGAATCATACCTGACACATAGGAAGATGGTCATGGTTCTTGGCGGTCAATCATCTCAGCTCCAGGACATCTCTGCAGAAATTCCTCAGGGTAGTGTCCTAGGCCCAATAATCTTCAGCTGCTTCATCAATGACCTTCCCTCCATCATAAATCAGAATTAGGGGTGTTTGTCAATGATTGCACAATACTCAGCACAATTTGTGACTCCTCAGATACTGAAGCAGTCCATATTCAAATGCAACAAGATCTGGACAATATCCAGGATTGGGCTGGCAAGTGGCAAGAGGCAAGTGACATGTGATATTTATGCCGCACAAATGCCAGGCTATGATCATCACCAATAAGAGACAAACTAACCACCATCTCATCGCATTCACCGGTATTATCATCATTGAATGCCCCACTATCAATATCCCGGGGGTTACCATTGGCCAGAAACTCAACTGGATTCATCACATTAGCACAAGAGAAGGCCAGAGGCTAGGAATACTGCAACAAGTAACTCACCTCCTGACTTGTCAAAGCCTGTCCGCTATCTACAAGGCACAAGTCAGGAGTGTGATGGAATACTCCCCACTTGCCTGGATGAGTGCAGCCCCAACAACATTCAAGAAGCTTGACACCATCCAGGACAAAGCAGCCTACTTGATTGGCAGTACATCCACAAGCATCCACTCCCTCCACCACTGATGCTCAGTAGCAGCAGTGTGTACTATCTACAAGATGCACTGCAGAAATTCACCAAAGACAGCACCTTCCAAACCCATGACCACTTCCATCTCGAAGGACAAGGGCATCAGACATATGGGAACACCACCACCACCAAGTTCCCCTCCAAGTCACTCACCATCCTGACTTGGAAATATAAAGCCGTTCCTTCACTGTTGCTGGGTCAAAATCCTGGAATTCCCTCCCTAATAGCATTGTGAGTCAATCCACAGCAGGAGGACTGCAGCGGTTCAAGAAGGCAGCTCACCACCACCTTCTCAAGGGCAACTAGGGATGGGCAAGAAATGCTGGCCAGCCAGTGACGCCCGCACCCCACAAATGAATAGAGAAAAAAGGCAGAGTTGGGAAAAAGGAGTGGTGCCCGAATGTTCACTTTGGTCTCTGTTTCTTTTCATGTATTTAAAGAACTTCTTGCCATCTGATTTTATTGCAAGTCAGCTTAGTCTCATCATTTATTTTCTCCTTTTTTTTGTAATCTTTTATTGGTCATTAAAACTTAATTTTTTTTTGGTTTATCACTGATTTTTGACACATTGTTATGTGTTTTTCCAGGATGGAAAACTGTAAACAAGTGCCACAGGAATCAGTGCTAAGGCCACAATTATTTATTATATATATTACTGACTTGGATGACAGAAGGAAATATACAATCACCAAGCGGATGACATAAAGAAAAAGTGGCAAAGCAAGTAGTGAGGATGACACAAACAGTCTACAGAGGGATAGGAGATGATTGGTTGAAAACTTAGCAGGTAGAATGTGGGATATTTTCTAATCAATCAGTTCAAAGATGTTATTACAGACCTTTGGAGCAGACGGGACTTGAACACTGGCATTCTGGACCAGTACCTATCACTATTCAAGAGCCCCAAAAGTGAAGTATAAATATCAAATCAATGATTTCACTGAAAGGTGGAGCAGATTTGATTGGCCAGATGGTCTACTTGTGCTTCTATGTCTTACGGTCTTAATGGGAAAGAATATTATCCAAAAAGAGAAATCCCAGACCTTCAAAATACTCAAGATGTTGAAAACATAGCTAAGTCTTATGAAAATTAAGCAGGCTATTTGGAATATGGTAACATTCTTAGGCAGCTTCTCTTTTTGGATGGTTTTCTTCACCTACCAAACCCAGAACTAAGTGTTTGTGCAATTAGTTAAAGAGTAGGAAAATACTCTTGATCTATGTTAGCTCTGAATAAGAGTTAAAAGCTATAAATTACTTCACTACACAACCAAGAACTTTGGAGAATACCATCCAATTCACTATGCTAACTTATTTCAGCTCTGCATTTCTGCAATTTCAATTCCTAAAGTCACAAAAAAACTCAAAAATTTCAGATAATCAATCATACAAGGGGATATTTTCTCTAGGTTATCCTATCCAGTCCTCATCCTTTGTCCTCAAATACTGACTCTTATCAAAAAAGGTGGAAATTTGCTAAACTTTCATCTGTTAAATTATTGAAGTCAATTGCAGTACAAGAAGGAATCCACAAACTCAGTGTTTTAGAGGGAGAAAATCTGGTATGGCATTCATGTGTTTCAGCCAGTTAATTGTGTTATCAACTTGACAGGAATGGTAAGTCAAAATAACCAGATTTATTGAATGACCAACAAATGAAGAAGTGATCAATAAGATTCCAACTTTTGTGGTTTTTACTTGAATGCAAATTAGAACCAAAGTAAATTAAACTTGAATTAACGGTAAATGATATTTGACATAGATAAATTTCACTTTAAAATAGTTGATATCAAGATTTTTCTTACATGACCAAAGGAATTCAGTGTGTAGGGCATTATGTAGCAACAGTTTTATAGTATTCTTTAATCACTAAAGGGACGTATAAAATCCTATCCAACAAAAGTTCTTCAAGAGTTTCACAGGTCCAATTACTACCTATGAACTTTCTTTCCGTCAGATTTGAATGCCACTGTGAGATTGTTATTGCCCGGCAGTTTTGTCGCATGAATGTTGTGGTATGAGATCAGTCCATGACTGGATGTTACCCAGATCTTGTTGCTTCAGTACTTGAGGAGTTGCAAAAGTTGCAGAACATTGTGTATTAATTAGTGAACATTCCACTTTGCATTTTATGATGGAGGAACGGCCATTGATGAAGCAACTTGACTGTGGTCATTGATTTGTACGGTGCAGATGTTACCTGTCCCTTGTCAGATCGAGCCTAAATCTTGCCAGTTCCTCATACATGTGTGCACAGAATCTGAGAAACTGAATGGCACTGAACATTATACAATTTTCAGTGAACATCTCCAGTTCTGATGTTATGATGGAGACAAAATCATTAAGGAAACTGTTGAAGTTTGTAGAGATGAGTTCGCAGAGATGTTTTGCTTTTGAAATAAGGACATTTCCATGTTAGCTGCTTTTTCTTTCTTTAAATCATTGGTGCAATTTCAACATTGTCTAGCATCATGGTATAAAAGTGCAAAACAACAGAAATTATGAGCAAATGACTGAAGTGCATTGCATTAAACTGCCATTGAATTTTATCTGTTCTTCAGGTGACTAGTTCTCTGGGCTGGGAAGGTAGTCTTTATTGAGCTAGAGATGCCTGTTTACAGTTCCTTAAAGTCCAACCAGCAAATCAGAAACAGCAAAGGAATTGCAAACCACTTGACCAATTAAAGTTTAAAGGCCTCTACTTTCAATGCTGTTCACAGATTCTTACTGAGGGTAAGTGACAAGGACAGTGGTGACACTAATACATCGAATAAAGTAACTACAACAACATCAAAGTGGACCTCAAAGTGAGTCTTTTCTTTATAATTGGATATGTATTTAGCTATGCCCCTTTTTCAATCACTTCCATAGCCAACAGAATCACATTTTTAAAGCGAACTTCATGATCAACATAATGTTCTGTAAGTAATCTGCTATTATTCTTAGCATGATCTAATTGAGTTATCTTTACATTCCTTGTCAATATGTTTGCAGGATATGGGTAAAGCTGACAAGACGGTGATATTTTTTGCTCATCTTCACTTGACCTGAGGTGGTGTTCACAGTGATGGGCTTTTTCCTCAAACTGCTGCAGTCCTTAATGCTGCACCCTATCGGAGGAGTACAAAATTCCAGGATTTAAAATAAAAAAAAACAAAATCAATCTTGGGATGTGGACATTGTTGGCTGTGCCAGCATTTATTGCCCATTCTTAGTTGCCCTAGAGAAGGTGGTGGAGAGCTGCCTTCTCGAATTTTTCTGTAGTCTGTGTGCTGAAAACAGATCCACAATATCATTAAAGAGGATTTTGACCCAGCAACACTGAAGGAACAGTGATATATTTCCAAGTCAGAATTGCTTGGAGGGGGAATTAGCAGGTGTTGGTGTTCCTATGTATCTACCCTTGCCCTTGTCCTTCTAGATGGAAGTGGTCATGAGTTTGGAAGGTGCTGTCTAAGGAGACTTCGTGAATCTCTGCAGTGCATTTTGCAGTTTGTACACACTGCTATTACTGAGCATCAGTAGTGGAGGGAGTGGATGAAGTACCAAATAAGCAGGCAGCTTTGCCCTGAATGATGTCAAGCTTGAATGTTGTTGGAGCTGCACTCAACTGGGAAGTATTCCATCACACTCCTGACTTGTACCTTGCAAATGATGGATAGGCATTGGGGAGTCGGGACTTGAGTTACGCACTGCAGGATTCCCGACTTCTGACCTGCTCTTGTAGGATAAACTTCAAGATGGGAATCCCACAACATGCTACCTCATGCCTAATTGTAGAGGTTGTAGGGGAAGCAGACATTATTTAAATATCCTCAATCAGTTGATGGAGTACAGAACACAGATCTTAAATATTGTTGTCACTTCCTCTAACCTGTACTGCATTACCTTTACAGAGTCATATGCCTGCAATATCTTGTGAAATTGATTAGAAGCTTAATTGGGCCAGCTGTGTCAACAGCAAGACTACAAAAGCATGTCGTGTTTGGTAAATCTGCAGAAAATAGTTCACACATTGCCCACCAATTCCTCCCAAAAGGCTCTCCATTGCCTAGAAGGAGCATGATGAAATACTCGTCACTTGCTAACTGCAGTCAGAACAACATTTTCCAAGGCAATGCTGTTTATTCTCCATTCCCAAAAGCTTAATAATTCCAATTGTTGCTACTGAAGAGCAAGGAAAGATGGTCGACTTTCTTTTAGAATGATTATCTGGCGCTAATATTAGTTGCAACATATAAACATAGAAAATACTGGAGAAACTCAGCATCTGTGGAGGGAGAAAGAGAGTTAAGGTTTTGAGTCTGGTATGAACTGAGTTCTGAAGAAGAATCAAAAGACCTGCTGAGTTTCTCCACTATTTGCTATATGTTTCAGATTTCCAGTATCCGCAATATTTTGCTCTTATTTATGATGTCAGTCTAGCCCTGTTGTCAACTGGGATAGGTTGTATTGAATTGGAGAAGTTGCAACTGGTACTGAACCATATCATCGCAACTGCTGGCCTTCCAATAAGTTTCTAACAACCACAACCAACTTCCTTTGTGGATGGATTTTAGGCCTCCTTAATCCCAAAATTAATCAACCATTGGCTTTCAGGGCAACGACCTTCCTAATTTATAGCCAATTTTTGGACAAAAGCTGTGTGACAGGTCTGAAACTGAGCATCACAGTAATCACTGTTAAGTAGTTATCACTTTTTGGCACTATTGATCATTACATCCATGTACTTAGTCTTGGGAGAAAGCTGAATAGTCACGTTATATTTGCCCCATCACTCCTCTGCTTCTCTGTGGGTGGGACATTCCTATGTAATATTCTACATTGGAAAACAGATGCCAATACCAGTTATACTGTAGTAAAAAAAGATTAAATGTTATTTCTGAGAAAGCTGAATACACTTACCTTATTTAATGCCACAAAGCTAGGGTTAATTATTAAAAACTAAACTCACAAAGACAATGTTTAGCACCTTTATGTCTTGCAATCTGGATTGGGGGCAGTTTTTTCACAAGTAAAAATAACCGCTCTGCACATTTCAGACTCTTCAGCTTTTTCAAATCTGCATCAGCTGTAAAGAATACTTTTCCTGAAAACTGCTCCACCTACAAGATCAAAGGAGGATAAAGGTCAGCATTTAGCAGTTTCTCTCCATGAATGAAGATCTTGCAAGAAAAATATACTTGCACAGAAGAATATTTAAGCTAATCAATACAGTAATAGTAAGGTAACTGGGATGTCTGAAAACAAACTTTGATTCACATGGTCAACCAACTGCGTCATATCATTTTAAGCCAAAGATCAATTTATAAAACTGATCTATCGCATCTACTAGAACAAGTCAAGTGCAGAAGACAATCTAATTGATTTATGCTGAAATGTTTCAAAGTCAATTTCTATGAATTAAATAACATAGCTCTTACCTCAAATCAACTTCAAAGTATTTAATAATGAGGTTGTAAACACTCAGTTTTTGAAGGAACTATGTTTTATCTAACAAAAACTTGAAAATTAAGTTGTTAGCTATAACATCCCATACTGCAGTTTTTCCGCATCATTCACAAATTTGAATCCAATACACAACTTATAATTGTTCAAATAAGCCAATTTACTCTGGCTTTGGAGACCGTCAGGGGTGGCTTATGCAGGGAAGTCAGTGTGTAATGATATGATGGGTTGGAACCCCAAAGTACTATGGACACTTTTAACATGTAATTTCAAAATGTTTTTTTTTAAAAAAGGCGGCTGATACAGTGAAAAACAGCTGGGGACGAAAATTAGAGATAGTAGGAACTGCAGATGATGAAAATTAAGTGGCTGTCTGGAGACAGCGCCCTCAGGGAATTTGACAACTACAGATGCAAAAGCAACTTCAAAACAACAGCACCTCAGGAGGGGGCTGCAATTCAAGTAGACCAGTTTTTGCTCTGGCCATACCCTGTGGATTAAGCAATGTCCCACAATTTGTAGACACATTGTGTTCACTTTCCCTTTGAAGAATACACAGGCACATGGGTTGAAGAGCCAATTTCAGCTTTACTGTAGTGGGCTAGTGGGATAGAATGCTACTCTGTGTACCAGCCTGTGTCAAACATTCACATGCTATGAAGTCACATTCAAAGAACTATCCTCAATTATTGCTGCAATGTAATCAAAGAGCACCTTTCAGAGTGTTGCAAACCAGGCAAAAGGAAGCAGGAAAATCAAGGGGGTCTCACTGAATGGTGGATTTCAATCATAGTTAAAAAGAATTAGAATTTCAGCAAAACTAGGGATTATGATACTGATTGTCCAACTTGCAACATCAATGCTACTGATAAACCCCACTGCAATGACACAGCATTAAACTATCTGCTCTTGACAAACAATTCAGAGTGATCCGTATAACCTTTAGCGTCATAGAGAGGTACAGCACAGAAACAGATCCCTTGGTCCAACTTGTCCATGCTGACCAGATATCCCAATTTAATCTAGTCCCATTTGCTAGCATTTGGTCCATATCCCTTTAAATCCTTCCTATTCATATACCCATCTAGATGCCTTTTAAATGTTGTAATTGTATCAGCCTCCACCACATCCTCTGGTGGCTCATTCCAAACACACACCATCCTCTGCGTGAAAAGGTTGCCCCTTAGGTCCCTTTTAAATCTTTCCCCCGCTCATCTTAAACCTATGTTCTCTAGTTTTGGACTCCGCATATCTGGGGAAAAGGCCTTAGCTGTTCACTCTATCTATGCCCCTCATGATTTTAAAAACCCCTATAAGAAGTTGCCCCTCAGCCTCCGATGCTCCAGGGAAAATAGCCCCAGTGTATTCAGCCTCTCATGCAGCTCAAATCCTCTAAACCTGGTAACTTCCTTGCAAATCTTTTCAGAACTCTTTTCAAATTTCACAACATCCTTCCTATAGCAGTTGTTTTAATTTTATCTTTTTGGACCCACCTTTTAATTTTAATCTGTGTCTGAGTTATGTTAACAGTTCTTCTTGCGTGTCGTAATTAATAAGCCTACCCCTTGTTAACTCAAGAAAGTCTTGCTTAATTAGATTCTTTTAAAACGTACACTCAAGCGGTCTAGGAGGAAGGTATTCACAAGGAAAGGGAGCTTGCTTAATCTAGTTGTAACCAATCAATGGACTGGGTGAATAAAGAAGGGGAGCCAGTTCATCTTTGCTAACTTGGGAGCTCAATAATTTTGGTATCCTGTCTGGAACAGCAACACATTGGGGAACCCAGCCCAGGGAATGGTCATAACAAACATGGGAATTTGGATGTCAGGAAATAGGCTTCCCTCAAGTCAAACTGAATTTACAAGTATGATCCCGATTACATTTTTTTTGTTTCAGTTTCCACATCGCAAACAGCTAGCTTTAGGTGCTGGCTGTCAGGAATAAATAAGTTGGAAGGAAGACCAAAGGTAAGATGAGATGCCAGGATAAGAAACACAGTGGAACATTCGTTTGTGAAGGGTGGGTCAAGCAGATAAACTGAATTCAGCAGGTATAACAATCAAATAATATTTAAATGACCAACTCGTATCATAAAAACATGTAGGAGTAGGCCAATTGGCCTTTTGAGCCTACTCCACCATTCAATATCATGGGTGATCATCCAAATCAGTACCCTTTTTCTGCTTTCTCACTAAATCCTTTAACTCCAAGGAGTGTATCTGTCTTCTTCTTGAAAACACTCAATGTTTTTGCCTCAGCCATTTTCTGTGGCAGAGAATTTCACAGTCTCACCACTCTGGACAAAGAAATTTCTCCTCATCTCAGTCCTAAATGACCCAGCCTGTATCCTTAGACTGTGACTTGGTTCTAGACTCCCTAATGATTGGAACATGCTTCGGTGTTCACTCTGTTAGAATTTTATAGGTTTCTATTTGATCCTCAGCAGCTCTCCAGTTTTTAAGGACTAGAACACTTTGACATTTAGTATGGTTCATTGGCAGCCTAAATGTAACAGCAGCTAATCCATCTTTTAATGAATTAATACATTACAACTGTCAAGGTATATAGGCCTCGTGATTATTTTTCTAATACTGCATTCAAACTTTAGAAAACTGCTAAAGATGCAAATATTCTTTCCAGAGGGTCCATTAATTACATCATGTACAACACTTTTTACGTTTCCCCATCATGTGATGCTTTTGTGGTAGTTCTGAGGAAGGGTCAGCGGACCCGAAATGTTAACTCTGTTTTCTCCTTCACAGATGCTGCCAGACCTGCTGAGCTTTTCCAGCAACTTTGTTTTTGTTCCTGATTTACAGCATCTGGAGTTCTTTTGGTTTTTATTATGCTTTTGTGGTATTTGGTAGAGACAAGACTATGTTTGTTTACTCACTCACCAGCTCCAAGTTTTGTTTTATTTATTCGCAAACTATCATAATATCAAAATTGAATTTTTTTTTAATTACCAGAGGGTTGTTTTTCGGTCTTGAGGCCTGTGATCAGCAATACTTGGCAAGGATTGGTGCTAGGTCCACTGCTTTTCATTATTTATATACGTGATTTGGATGAGACTAGGAGGTGGTATGGTTAGCAAGTTTGCAGATGACACCAAAATTGGTGGTGTGATGGACAGTCAAGGAGGTTATCTCAGAGTACAACAGGACCTTGATCAGATGGGCTAATGGGTTGAGGAGAGGCAGATGGAGTTTAATTTAAATAAATATGAGGTGTCGCGTTTGGTAAGGCAAACCAGGACAGGACTTATACAGTCAATGGTAGGGCCCTGGGGAGTGTCGCCAAACAAAGAGAACTTGGGGTGCTGGTGCATAGTTCCTTGAAAGTGAAGTTGCAGGTAGACAGGGTGATGAAGGAGGCATTTGGCCTGCTTGCCTTTATTGGTCACTGCATTGAGTACAGGAGTTGGGACATCAAGTTGTGGTTGTGCAGGAAATTGGTGAGACCACTTTTAGAATACTACATTCAATTCTGGTCTCTTTGCCAAAGGAAAGATGCAGTTAAACTTGAAAGGGTTCAGCAAAAATTTACAAGGATGTTGCCAAGATTGCAGGGTTTGAGCCCGAGGGAGAAGCTGAGTAGGCTGAGACTTATTTCCCCTGGAGTGTCGCAGGCTGAGGAGTGATCTTATAGAGGTTTATAAAATTATGAGAGGCATGGATAGGTTGAATAGCCAAGGTCTTTTCCCCAGGGCAGAGGAATCCGAAGCTAGAAGGCATAGGTTTAAGGTGAGAGGGGAAAGATTTAAAACAGACCAGAAAGGCAACTTTTTCACAGAGGGTGGTGCATGCATAGAATGATCTAGTGGAGGCTGGTATGATTACAACATTTAAAAGGCATCTGGATGGGTACAAGAATAGGAGGGATTTAGAGGGATATGGGACTAGATCAGTTTAGGATGTCTGGTTGGTGCAGATGTGATGAACTGAAGGGTCTGTTTCTGCGCTGTTTTACTCTACGACTCCATGACTCTACCAATTCCTAATTGTCTTGCAGAAGGTGAAGGTGGTGGTGAGCCATTTTTATAGTTCACATAGTATTGATTCACCCACAGAACTGAGAGAAAAGGAGTTCCAGAATTTTGACCAGCAACACTGAAGCGATGGAAATAGAGATCCAAGTCAGGATAGTGTGTGACTTGGATGGGAATTTACAGTTAGTGGTATTCAGGCGGTGTTGTCCTTGCTCATGTCAAGAAGAAGTCAAAGTTTAAAGCTGTGGATGGGTTGCCGATCAAGTGCAGTACACATTTTCTTGGATGATGTTGAGCTCATGTTGTTTGAGGTGCACCTGTGTAGGTAAGTGGAGCGTATTCTGACATTCCTGATTTGTGCCTTGTTTTCTTTCTCTATTCACTTGCGGGACGTGGGTGTCACTGGCTGGCCAGCATTTCATGCCTTGTATATGCTGGACAGACTTGAGGGAGTCAGGCAGCATGTCAACTGCTGTAGAATTCCCATTGTCTGACCTGCTTTTGTCAGCACAGGACCAGCCTGCTATATTTTTACTTATGGACATGGATGGCTTCAGTACCTGAGAGTGATGAACAGGACTGAACACTGTAATCATCAGTGAGCATCAGACCTTTATGAGATGGAGGGAAGATTATTCACGAAGCAGCTGAAAATGTTTCAGCTGACGACACTACCCTGAGGAACTCAAGGCCCAGATTCAAGTCCTACCTGCTCCAGAGGTGCATAATAACATCTCTGAACAGGCTGAGTAGAAAATAGATACCTTGAGAAACTCCTGTAGTGCTTTCTGGAATTAAGATGATTGACCTCCAACAACCAGAACCCCGTTATTTTTTGAGGAAGAATGAACCCAACCAGCAGAGTGCTTTCCCACCCTAATCTTACTAGGGTTCTTTGAAACCAGACTTGATCAACTGCTCTTTGATGTCAAGAGTAGTCACTCTCACCCTACCACTGGAGTTAATCACCTTCCTCCATGTTTGGACCAAGGTTGTAATGACATCAGGAGCTGGGTGACCATGGTGGAAACAACAATGCGTGCCAGAGAACAGACTATTGCTGTGTAAGTGCCACTTGACAGCATCTATCACTCTGCTGATAACTAAGAGCAACTTAAACAATATTTGAAGGAAGCACTAAGGCTAGCAATGGCACAGAATGTACTCTGGGCATGGTACTGATGATCAAGAGAGCAAACAGGCAATAATTTTCTGAGCTGGATTTTTTTTTGTTTACAGGACATACCATGGCAGTTTTCCACATTGTAGGTTGGCTAGGGGTGCAGCAACTTCTGGAGCACAAGTCTTCAGTACTACTGTCAGAATGTTGACAGAGGCCATAGCAATGGGTTGATCCCCTGGCTATATCATGACCTAATTGTGTTGTCTTATAAGGTATAGTGCGTTTCCAAAATCTCCACAGTAGGTCTGTTTGAGGTAAATAGAATGCTACATCTGATATCATATAAGCAGACGAACAAATGAATATGCAAACATGATCAGCATACAAATGTAAGTCAACATTCAAAATGCACAGCACAAAAAAAAAGTAAAAGCTCTATTCGCATGTGAATACGGCTCAACGAACACACAAATCAATACATAAAAACTTTTGCCTACTTTAACACAGTGAGAAAGAAAAGGTCGAATCCTGCAGTCAGAGGTCGGACAGACAGTAACAGACCCAGCCACAAGCTGCTCCCTCTCGGATACTTCACTCACCTCAGAGGCCGACAGTTTGAGGTTCAGCTCCTCCCTCAGCAGCTGCTCCAAGCCGCGGCTGGCGGTGCAGAAATATCGGCTCCCGGGACCGCCTCCTCCCGCCATCAGGGAGCTCAGGCTCGGGGAGACAGCAGCGGGCCTGCAGGTGGAAGTTCGAGGGAAGTCGAAGCCTAGGCCCGGTTGTCAGGGTAACCGCACCGGAACTCCCCGCAGTCCCGACAGGAAGTGACGCGGGGGTGGAACAGACTTCAAAATTAAACCGTCAAAAAAACAGCAAAGTTGGGGAATTGGGGGAAATATCCCTCTCCATGACCAAGGTAACATTGTATTGACCCATCATTGAGTAAGGACTCAGTAGGACAGCAATTGCATTGACTCCTATGTGTTCTGCTTGGGATCCATTATCTTGGTGGGTACATAGTGTTTGACCCTGAGAGAGACATAGGGTTTTCACAGCAGGGAAACAGGTCCTTCGCTCCAACTCGCCCATGCCGACCAGATATCCTAAATTAATCTAGTCCCATTTGCTGACATTTATCCCATCACCCTCTAAACCCTTCCTATTCATGCACCCATCCAGATTTCTTTTAAATATTGTAATTGTACCAGCCTCCACCACTTCCTCTGGCAGCTCATTCCATACACGTACCACCAGTCACTGCATGAAAAAATTGCCCCATAAGTCCCTTTTAAATCTTTCCCCTCTCACCTTAAACCTATGCCCTCTAGTTTTGGACTCCCCCACCCTGGGGAAAAGACCTTGGCTATTCACCCTATCCATGCTACTCATGATTTTATAAACCTTTATAAGGTTTATCAGCATCCAATGCTCCAGGGAAAATATCCCCAGGCCATTCAGCCTCTCCCTATAGCTCAAACCCTCTAACCCTGGCGACATCCTTGTAAATCTTTTCTGAACCCTTTCAAGTTTCACAGCATCCTTCCTATAGCAGTGGGACCACAACTGAACGCAGTTTTCCAAAAATGACCTAACCAATGTCCTGTACAACTGCAACGTGACCTCTCAACTCTTGTACTCAATGCACTGACCAAAAAAGCAAGCATACCAAACGCTACCTTAAATGTCTTGATGGTTTCTGCCTTTACCACTCTATCAGGCAGTGTAGTCCAGATACTGACCACTCTTCCTACTCTTCCTGAAATTCCATCTAAACCACCCATCCTAAGCCATAAATCTATGCCTCCCGTTTATTGATCCCTCTACTTAGAGGAAAGGCTTCTTCCATTCTATGCTGTTCATAACTTTGTATACTTTGATCAACGCTTTCCTCTCCCACCCACCACTGCTGTAAGGAAAACAATTCCAGATTATCAATTCTCAGTTCATAGCTGTTCCAGTACAACTATCATAGCTGAATCACTCCAACACAGGTAACATCCTGATGAATCTGATATAAAACCAAGGATGCTGAAGGAATGAAACAAAAAAATACACACATTGATGGAAATTAGCTTGTATGGCAGCATCTGTGGGGAGAAACCAGAATTAATGTTTTTGAGTCCAGTGACTCAAATTGAAAGGGATAGGTAGACGAGGGGATTATTGATCATGGGCCAGGACAGAAGAAAAGCTGAATAAGTGATACGAGAGCTGAGAGTTGGGGAGAATGGGTAGGCTGTGCTGAAAGCGACTCATCCTGATGAATTTCCTCTTCTCTCTCCTTTACTGTGATAATGGTATCCAGAATTTGAAATCAACAAACTGTATCTAAAGATAATCAAAGGGCTGCAATAGAGAGCTAAATGCTCATCGGTGGCTTTAATATGGTTATGGGTTCATCTAACAGTTGCAGCTGCATGCAGCAGCTCAGATCCAGGGGTTATTTGGTGGATTGGGCTCTGGGCAAAAGCTGCACATCTATCCCTAAGGGGACAGGTACTTTCAACTGATTCAAGACACTGATTTGGCACATCAAATGATATTCTAGTGGTCACCATGACCATGCCCAAGGCTTTTTGACATAAGATGCACAATGTTGATCAGGCTATTAACATTCACCAGTTTACTAGCATTGTTAAAAAGATTTATCTGAGTTGCACAATTTTGGAATTCAAAGATAATCAGTAGTTTATTTTAAACACTTCGAGCAATCGCCTCAAATTCACTGAAAGGGAAAATAGACATTATAGGCAACAGGAGGGACTAATGGACAGAGAAATAAGGTGTTTCAGAGATAGTAGGAACTGCAGATGCTGGAGAATCTGAGATAATTAGGTGTAGAGCTGGATGAACACAGCAGGCCAAGTAGCATCAGAGGAGGAGGAAGGCTGACGTTTCGGGCCTAGACCCTTCTTCAGAAATGGGCGAAGGGAAGGGGGTTCTGAAATAAACAGGGAGAGAGGGGGAGGCGGATAGAAGATGGATAGAGAAGAAGATAGGTGGAGAGGAGACAGACGAGGCTTGGGGACTGCTTTGCAGAACACCTACGCTTGGTTCGCCCTAAACAACTGCACCTCCCAGTCGCGAACCATTTCAACACCCCCTCCCATTCCTCAGACGACACGTCCATCCTGGGCCTCCTGCAGTGCCACAACGATGCCACCCGAAGGTTGCAGGAACAGCACCTCATATTCCGCTTGGGAACCCTGCAGCCCAATGGTATCAATGTGGACTTCACAGGCTTCAAAATCTCCCCTCCCCCTACCGCATCCCAAAACCAGCCCAGCTCGTCCCTGCCTCCCTAACCTGTCCTTCCTCCCACCTATCCCCTCCTCCCACCTCAAGCCCCACCCCCATCTCCTACCTACTAACCTCATCCCGCCCCCTTGACCTGTCCATCCTTCCTGGACTGACCTGTCTCCTCCCTAACTCCCCACCTACGTTCACCTTTACTGGCTCCATCCCCGCCTCTTTGAGCTGTCTGTCTCCTCTCCACCTATCTTCTCCTCTATCCATCTTCTATCCGCCTCCCCCTCTCTCCCTATTTATTTCAGAACCCCCTTCCCCTTCCCCATTTCTGAAGAAGGGTCTAGGCCCGAAACGTCAGCCTTCCTGCTCCTCTGATGCTACTTGGTTTGCTGTGTTCATCCAGCTCTACACCTTATTATCAGAGAAATAAGGTGTATGGGTTTTCTGTAAGGACAAATACATGTTAACATTATGAGATGTGGACGTTGAATATGATTGGCTAATGTAATCATATGCTTTAGTTTAAACAGTATTGGATAACCTAATCCTCTGTACTACCTCGGAATGCAAGTTATGCAACCAGTGTGTGAAAAGTGATAGAAGTGAAAAGTGAGTAACTCTCTGAAACTTATTATCTGTAAAATTGGTATAAACCGATGTTCTTGTCATAAAGGTTTGAGTTGTATGCCATTTCTTAATGTGTACATCTCCCATGTGTGCATGAATAAACATTTAAACGAAGAATTCTGAGTCTTGTCTGGTCAAGAGAAAAGAAAGGGTTAAATTCATCCTTTACACTCCCACCATCGCTGCAACAACCACACTGTCTACTCTACTCTTTTAAACTCAAGGTAACAAAATGGGATTAAACAGGCTCTGTTGGGGCACTGTAACAAAATACAAATTTATGACTAACAGAAACTTACTCAATTAAAATAACATTGCCCTAGGTGGTGATGCACTGCAGGAACTGTGGTGCCCACCTGTCTCTAAAGGCCTCTATCACACAGGTGAGGACCATGTGCTCCCTCTCCAGTGACACCTGAATGCAAATGTAAACAAGAAGGAAAGGCAAACAGTCAACTACAACAACCACCTTCATGGCCTGCTTAATGGCTGCTTTGGCCAGGACCAGGAGTAGATCCACGAGAAGGCTCTCTGCCCTGTTTATCCTTCACCACACAGGTTGATGTAGATTAGGAGCATGGAGCTGAAGTGCAACCAAAAATTTGAAGAGCAGTCACTACAAAAAGCTGAAAAGGGGCTGCAAATGAAAACACTCCATATAAATATGACGTGCAGTTTTGTCTAGGCCACAAAAACTACATGTAGCCTAGCACCCAATGTACTTAATCTATGATTGTATCTTACTGTTGTGTGCAGCAATCTACACCCAGATCCCCGATGGAAAAGGGAGGGCACTTTTGTAGACTATCTCCTCTCCCCTTACTTCCAACAAGTGTGAGGAACTCGTGGATTTTTTGTCACTACGACTGAGACCACATATTGAGTAGATTTTGCCACTTCTCTCCCTTTCCCTGGTCTGCTGGGTCATATTCCCTCTAAGGGTCCTTTCTGTCCTAACCCTGAATTTATATTTTCCTCTAGTTTCTTTTCTACCTTCCTCTCTGACTTCATTTTGTCAATGAGACTGGCATCCTGCTCCCCACTAAATTATTAGCCATCCAAATTCTCACTGGCCTTTTTAAAAATTGTTCTTGGGATCTCAGCCCCTTTGAGAAGGTAATGGCATACCCTCAGATTCAAGTTAGCTAAATCATGTATGACGTTGTAGTTAGATTCTGTCTCATTGGATGTTAGTTGGTATTGTGAATGGTTTTCTCTCTGTCTGCTTCAAATCTACCATCATCATTCTTTAGTTCTCAGAGAAGTCTCAGTACTGTGTAGTGGGAGGCGGAGAATCTAATTGGGTTTCAAACATGGAGTTCAGAGAAAGAAAGACGTAGATTATGTCCTCGATCATGTTCACATACTTTCATTTCAATTTTATTTATCTGAAGGGAAAATCTGTTTTAACAATACAAACTACTTGAAAGGTGGCTGGACCATGTTAAACTGCATGCTGATAGACAAGTGTTTAGAGAAATGTTTGAAAGATACTGAACAAAATTGGAACTGGCAAAGAGTGGAACTGAAGTCCAAACAAGTGTCACTGATTTGGGAACCTGTTACAATCATGCCCACGTCTGATTTAACTGGAGTGTCTTCAGAGGCAATTGGGAGACTTCTGTGGAACTGTTGGGTCGGGCCTTTAAGTATTGAAACGATTGTGGATTTAACCCAGGACCTCTAGCTTTATGGGTTTCCGGAGATGTGTGGGACTGCCAGCATTAACAAGGTGCAGACACTACCAGGAATCACTGCTAGGCTGGAAAGCCTTTAACAGTTGCTGCCCTCTCTGTGTGAAAGGCCCGTGCACGCAGCAGTTTTCACAAATCCAAATTTCACTGCTTCATAATTGATTTTCAAATTTGACAACCATCCATTCTCTGGCACAATTTCTATATCTAAGGATGTTTGAAGGATTATGATCTGTGCCTCTACTATTTTCCTCCCTCAACATGCTAGCATGT